TTACCAAAAGAACCGATTCCATGAAAAACCATAACGAGCCAGCCAACAGCATGTTTGAGTTAAGGAACCGGAAGTTGCATTTGTGAAGTGTAGTGAGAAACATGTTGGCTACTTGGAATCTGCTTATACATAAGCGCACTAAATAATATTCATTTACAGCTTGTTAAAAAGTTTATTTTAAATAGTTCTGCAGTGTATGTATGTTTTTGAAATTTTTTTTTTTTTTTTTGCTGCAAAACAAATCTAATTAAAAGCAATTTCCGCAAGCAAGCAGCGCGCTAGCAGGGTAAACTGAATAACCATATCATGAAAAAACCACAATTTAAAGCCACACTTGTTTTAGCTGCAGTGGTAGAAATAGCGTAAATAAATAAACAATGCTCATAAATGCTAGCAACAAACAACACAACTAATAAAATTTCACTAGCAATGCGTAATAATAAATTATTGGCCACTAACGTGTAGGTATGGCAGTTACATAGCTCCTTACTCTTACTCTCCTCTGGTGCTTCACTCGGAAATTCTTAATCTTGGAGAAATAAATGAACATTGTGTATTATTAAAAGTAGGAAATTACATTTATAGCACAGGTGAAAACTTAATCGCACCCAAGTGACCTTTGTGCGGAAATAAAGATTGCACTTAATTGACATTTTCAGGTTCAAGCAGGATTATTTCGCCATTATGTGTGTACTTAAACGCATACCAATATTTATAAATGCATATGAGTATTTGTATGTGCATGTGTGTTGGTAATTTTAAGTAGGATATTTCAGAGTATTGAGTATTACATTGTAAATCAAATTTTAAAGTACTTAATTATGTAAGTAAAAATGGATGAGAAAAGGTGTGTATCATATATGCATATACAAATATTGGAAAAAAAGTATGTAGATATGTTACAAACTAAATAGATAAATTTTTTAAGATTTTTGTGAAAAATAAGCTTAGAAAAATTAAAAAAAATACGTATTTTAAAAATTTAATTTTGATCAAAATAATGTTTAAAGCCTGCCTGTCTTCGGAGGTCCTAGTTCCAGTCAATATACCTACGCTTCATATAAAAAATATAGTTAACTTTTGTAGCAGCTCGCCACGCTGATTATTTATACACATACTTGTACATACATATATGTATATATTTTATTAAATAATATTTGATCTCCAACGTTATACAAACTTCTTGGCAAACATAATAAACCATATTCAGTGAATATATTAATATTAAAATTATTACAAAAAAACAAAATAAATTTAAAAAAATTAAAGAAATACATTTCATAATAGCTCATATAAAAAGCCATTAGTTAAATTGTTTATCATACAAAATTTATTTCGCGTTTCCATCCATCATTACGCCTACTTCCGCCGATGGCACAACCACAGCTGAGGGCAAAACTCAAACGACCACGCATGGTTGCGCCTTTAATGAAATGAGATCAAATCACAAGACGACTGCTTTGAAAAATGTCAACATGCTAACTGTTAAATTGGAGCTTTTCAACATGAAAGCTTGGCAAGGAGCATGCATCAGTTTTAGATAACTTACTAAATGCTTTAAGATAAAACCGTTAACTGTATGCACGATTGTTAATATTGCGTAAATTATTTGAACTATTCAGTGCTATCTACTTACTTGTATAAGTGCTATAATATTTAGAAACCTTTTCATTCATAAAGTCAGTGCAGTAGATAAAGAGATAGCTCTTTAGACATACATCGGTTGAAATTACTGTAGTATGACAACAAACGATAACTGACATTCGAATATAGATAATTTGTAAATTTTTGTATTTACTTTGCTATTGATTTTTTCTACACATTCACACTTTATCAATCGCCATTAAAATACTTTTGAAACTTACGATAATTTTTTTCAAAACTCTTGTCATTTACGAAATAAATGCAAAAAAACGAAAATTTTATGAAAAAAGAGAGTGATGCCATGCAATGTCGCTAAGATATGGAGATTTAAAATAAAAAATCAGAGTATTCGTGTATTTTAAACGGGAAATCTTTACACGCCTTGGTGCAGACTTTATATTAATATTAAGGGCTCATACTTTCAGGGATTAATTTTTCTGGTATTTCCAATAATATTTCACGATGGAACCGAAAAAAATAATGGTTCAAAACATAAGCAGATAATATAAATTAATAACAGCAGTAATTAGCAGTAATATAAAGCGGAGCCTTTGCTAAAAATTTCCTATAAACGGTTATAAATTTATGTATGTATATATAACTGAATAAAATAAAAATTTTGGTTTGCAACTTGACTTAGTATAACACTTAAAAGTTTTGCTGCCAGTGGTTAATTGAAATCAATTTGAATATGCTATAAATGCAGAAGCTATAAATTTATATTATGTTGCTGCAACATTGTAGCTATACAATGAACCGCACTATCTCGCCATAATAGGGGTATATGCAAACTATAAATTATAGCAAAAACAATTTATAACATCTTTTATTATGTACATATGTACACATTTTATGATTGCTTATGGCACAATAATACTTAATTTACCAACAATATAAAGTTAATAGTTATTGAAAATCGTAAATAAAGAATTTTTAAATATAATAAAAACATTGTTAATTAACAAAGTCAATTTTATAGCTTACTGATTGTTTTCTTGGTTTAAACAGACATTTGACTAGCATTACATAATATATAAAACCATAATAATTTATAAAATCATAAAAATGTATATGGATATTTAGAAATATTTGAATATCACTGGAGGTACTTGGAAGTATCTAAGAGCACAGTTAAAAACTGAATGGATAATTTAGCTATGACAAGCCAATGGGAAAAGTTCATAAGGAGTAGTTTGCTCACCCGTCTAGAAAAGCTTTTAGAGTAGAACATCTTCCATAGAAAAGTATCTGAAATTTACGAAAACGGACTTTGTACATATATATGAACTCGTACGTGATTTCGATGCTTCAAAAAGCTGCCTAAGTTAACCGAAATGCCTGCACATTGACTGCTCTGTACTTAATTGACTGCTTCTTAATGTGCCGCCTTAAATCATTAGGAGATAACATGGAAGGAGAATTTTCACATATATCTTACATGTATATAATATAACATAATTCATAGTGTAAAATGTGTGGTTCTTATGATTTTTAACAAAAACCTTGAACTGAAGAAACCTCTTATAATAATAATAATACTTAGCTGAAAAAACATTGCATTAATGCAAAAAAAGCAAAAATGTAATTTTATTTTAGTTGTAAATTCTCCATCCGGGGTGTATTTGCCAATCAATTATCTTATACCCTTATTCTGAAAGATTAATTGACATGTGACTTCTATGCTTTTTGGGTTTGGTTGAACGATTTGTCAGAAGTTTTAGAGCTTTAGTGGTTCTGGCAATGTTATATTCTTTATTAGAGCCCTTATTATTCGACTAATCGACTAAACGGATTAACCGAATAGAGCATTATTCAAAAACAAAATACGGTTTGTACTATTCGGATACATATATAGCCCGGTCTCATCCAATATTGCTGTTGTCTTTAAGATGGTTCTTAAACTAACGTTTGCTGAGTTGTTGTCTGGCTTTGTAAGTATGTTACATTGATTTCTATACAAAGTTATATGTGTTATCATTGCGATGCTGTACTCTTCTTTTTGATCTCTTTTATTACCACACCCTTTTCTTCTCGCTACAGCATCTCATGTAAAGAACAAATTTCGGCTTCTCAAAAATTGGAAAATAATTTAAATATGCAAATTTATTTCTATTTGATCTTTATGAATATTTGAATTGGACCAATCATATTACACCCAATGGGAAAAAATATGCATCAGTCGATCGTTATTATGTTCTTGCAGACCTTGCTGATAATTTTTAATCTTCGAAATTCGTAGTTTGAAATCTGCATCTTCTCTCGGTAGAATTTTTTACTATTTAAGCGAACTTCTATTGAAAATATGGATAAGCTTTGCGATCTTTCAAATCAATCAGTTAAGTTTTTAGCTTTTGGGCAACAGATAATGTTGACCTCATTTTTCAGAAAACAAGTAAACGTGTGGTTTAAAATTTCTTTACTTTCGAGCCTCTGTTGTAATCAGTGAGGTCTTCATGGCCCTTCTAAGAGAATTGTTAACATAACCTCGCCTTAATCAACGATGCAGATGCAAAGTTACCGAGGTAGATACTCGTCAAGAATATTAATAAATATAAGAACAGCATCGTCTTCGCTCCCGTTTGGAATCCGGACAGCAGTGAATGGTGGACGCTTCAGTACTGTTTCTTCGTATCATCATTGGAACTAAAATGAGCTACTGGCGGCGCACACCGGAACTTCAAGATTTGCTGTATACATTAAATTTATTTGAAAAATGGTTGTGAAGTGTTGCGTTCGTAGTATGGCGATTTATAAAGATATACGAGTAAAAGCCTTGGTATGTACTTTGAGCCGGTTGTACAAGGTATGTAGATATGTGGAGATCTGTTAAGAATACCTATGGAAAAAGTGAGAGTATTTTATTAGTACTATTAAAATTTATATTATGTTCAAAACTCACCTGGGTGGCATGTTAACGGTTGAGAGGTTGTCCCAGTACCTACATGCATAATAAGTATGCTGTGCTTCTCGATGTAAATGTTGGGAATGTAATTTTTTTTTATGATAAATGGTTATAATTTGCAGTGTTCTTGTAATATGCATTCACTTAACATGTTTGTACGTCACGTAGTTCATGTAGAACTTCTTTTAATAGAATGGCAACTATATGTATATATTTTTTGTTCAAACTGCTTAGTAATATAATTTAAGATACCAGATCAAATTCCAACACTTCAGATGTTGATTATTCAGATTCAGATTAATTTAATGATAAAAAAATGAAATGAAATGAAAGAAGTACTAAAAATTTTCGATCAACTTATGTAACGGGAATTGCTATTTTCGAAATTGCTAAAATGTCGTTATTTTTTTGAGTAGTAAATGAGTATATATTTATTTTTCATAGAAATAAGTAATTCTCTTTAATATTTTAAGACTAATTTATTTTTTATGAGTACAAAAATTTTGGCGAAAAATAACAATGACACTAATACACATACATTTACATGCGCGTACACATTTTCATAATTTATTTAATATTAAAAACACTAAAGACTAAATGAAGTAAGAAACCTTTACTTCGGTATACAAATTAGCCCCACAACACTTGACTTGCCAACACCAAAGAAAAAACGCTGTGTTAATATACACAAATACAAATATATATATATGTATATGTGTGTAGCTAACTATAGCTTATCACTGGCGACAGGCTGACTGAGTTCACTAAATCGAGTAACAAACACTTTTCATTACATGTCAACTTCTCTCTCTTTCACCACTTCTCCGTCTATACGCAACGCGCAATAAATTAATTATAGTTATTCTCTTCCTCGCCATAGGTCCACGTCGATTCGTCGTCATAATCCTCACCAGCTGCAGCATTCTCCTCATCTTCCGGACACGCCGAGCAACGACTCTCGTTGATACCATAACTAAGGCAATTGGCGCCCACACATTCACAGCAGCCATCGTGGAACCAACGATAGCTATTCGCGCCCATATTTTCACAATCTTGCGCACACTTGTGAAACGTTTTGCACTCGTTCAGATAGATCACCGTGCAATTGAGTTGCGCCGCCGCCGATGTAGCTGTTGATTGTAGCTTTTGCAGTGACGCTTGGCGATCAATAGCATCACCATCGCTCCCGGCACCCACAAGGCTAACACCGAAACCGGCGCCGTAATGTCGCCGCGAACTGGAGCGCATGGCGAAGCGCATCACCGTCCAGTTATCATCATCTTCGGTCAGCGTCTCGAATAGTTCGGGTAGGCCTTCAAATTCGCCATACTGTGAACGTGGCGCCGCCGCGTCAAGTGCATCCGTGATCTTCGGACACATATCCAAGCAGCTGCAGCACTCCGTATACAAATCGCCCAGACAGTTGAGACATTCCTGCAGACAAGTCGCGTTGCTTAATTTACACTGACAACTCTGCGTTAAAAGGCATTTGGAGACGATGGAACCGCAAACGAACTCGTTGCAGCCGTCACGCGTGACGTCATTAGCAGTGGTGAGCAACTGACAGCTGAACGCCAGTAAAACGCCGATGATGAGAAATTGTGTAGCAGCTGGCAATGGCGTCGCTTGCTGTTTATACATGTTGCATATGATAAGAAGACTCTTCGAATTCAATGCAACGACGATGAAATTATTTACGGCGTTACGTTACTTATCGCGTTTCCACACGTTGTATTCGCTTTAAGGATCAGAGATAAACTGTTCAAGCGTGTGTACAAACAAACTGTTAACTACGCTAAACAAGTCGCTCTTTCGACGTGTAAGAGAGCGTTAATTGTTATTTATTTTTTTTTTTTGCAAAGAGTACGAAACTGAGTAGTGAAGTGGTGTGGCGTGTTTTTGTTTTCTTATTTTCATATTTATTTACAAACTTCTTTAAAGCGAAAGAAATGAAGAGAAAAGGACACAAAAACTACCAAACGCATCGCACAGGTAAGTTGGTAGTTAGCTGTAGAGGTTCGTAGGCACGCTCATATTACTGGGTCCATTATTTTTTCTCATCACGTTTTGTTTGTGTTTCTCATATCAATTTCACTTGAATTTGTAATCTCGTTGCTGCTAAACAAAGGATAACAAATCAAATGGGTTCGGGAAACCACTTGATCGAGCTATGCGGCGCTGAGTGCATGTTGATATGGCGGTGCTATTGACATGTTGAAATTGTGACTACACTGTAAAGATATGGCACAGGGCAAATGAAGAAAATATAGCTAAGTTTGGATGGTAGAAAATAATATATGTTTCTTACTTGAATCTAAAGTGTCTTAGAAAACGGTATATTTAATTTATTACACAGCTATTCAGATACTAACAATCGCTAGCCCGTTTCAGACAAAAAATAAAAATAAAAAATAATTTTTACTAATTGACTTATTATCTTTTGCCATAAATAATGTATGAGTATTTCATTTTATTATTCTTCTATATAATCGGAAAGCCTATATTAATGTTTATATATGAGGTAAAGTTCCGAAAGGTTCCAAAGGGAAAAATAACTGGATACTCGTAGTAACCTATTTGTGAATATAATTAATTACTGCCCGAGTTACTCTTCCTACATGCTTCCCAAGCCTTAAGTTGTGTGATAAATATAGCTTTCAACGATTTTTATGGCCCATTTGATAGAATTACTGGCTTAGCTTCTCTTACTACTTTCTTTTTAAACCTTATTGTTGTCAGATAAGCAGAACTTTCAGAAAATTTGAAGACCTTTTTAAAAAAACTAACGTTTGTTTTTTTTTTGAAAGTTTTTCTAAACAGAGTATCAACTTTGTCTGCCGAATCCAGTCGCTACTAAAAAAGCATTTGTAAGATAATTTGAAATTAAAATCAATTTCTTGATTTTTATTAGTACACACCTCTAAACACTACACCATATTGGCACCAAACTGACATCGGTCTTTTTTGAATCTTATTGTCAGTTCGCTAGGTTTTTTTAATATTAAACGGGGGATACGTTCCCATTAAAATGAATTTGTGGTACCAAAAATTTTCAAAAAATTAATAACTACTAATATCATTCTGTAAGAAATCTTAGTGTAGGTTATCTATTGTCGCATTCCGTTATGCTCTGTTGATCATTTTCAAAGTGTCTCTTATATCGGGTGCACACATCTTTGTTGAGCAAATGGTTAATTTAAGATGAATTTCAGTGAAGCATAATGATGTGAACACAGTGCGTTATTATCGATACACGATAATTATTTCAATGTATTATCGATATATAAATATTATCGATTATAAGCAAAATAAAAAATAAAAATTGAAATTATATATGTTAAGGAATTAATGACATTAATTGAGTGCGAGAAAATACAAATTCAAGAAATTGAAGGTTGAGTGATTGATTGATTGAAGGCGGATTGATTAACAGTATAATTTCGGTTAAAGAAATTTGTAAAAATTCAAACAAAATGTAGCATTGAATTTGAGCTGAAAGAAATCGAAGATTGATAGAAGTACAAATGAGGTTTACTCATATGTATAGTAGTCATATACATATATGTATACGAAATCAAAAAATCTTAGTATATCTTTGTTTAAAAAAAATTATATGTCGTATGTTCCTTAAAAATATTAATTCTTCGATGAACAACTTTCCATTTTCTGAAAAATTTAAGTGTTTTTTAGAAGAAAGTTGCCATAATCACGTCATTTTTGGTTGCGGAAGATTTATCGAATAGAAAAGTTATCAAAGAGATACTATTGTTGACTTGTTGTTGTTTTTGTAATCTTGCTGCTGGTACTGATTTTATCAAGGATGTATTTTACCACTTTCAATCGGTATTTTCAAATTATTTTTATCGAGAAAGTAATAATAACTAAAACATACTAGGTAATTTTAATTCTTCTAAGTCTTGATATCTATAGCGTGGACTATACAAAAAATTTTAATCAATGCATTCCGCTTTGCTCTCACTTTAATACAAGCTTGTTATCGATATTCGATTACTTTTCAGAGAAAACTCATCCGATTATTGCATGTATCTAGTGAGCATCCATTCACGAGTGCCTAAGTCAGCGTTTCACCTCTGTGCGGCACACACTCTTTAAGCAGTGTTTTGTTATCCAATGCCAACGGTGACTGCTGAGAGATTACGAAGTTACAAAAATGCGCAAACAATGAGAAATCAACAAAGTTAGGTTCACAAGTGACAAGTGTGGGTGTATGTGTGAGTGCGACTTTGTCATTTCAGCATTTCTTGTTGTTCAAGTATATGAATGTACACATTTAGGTATGCGCGTTGGTATGTATAGATATGATGTGTTTTTTAAATAGTCAACATACAAATGCATAGCATTACCTGCACACATACATATATGTTACATATTTACTTACATACATATATATATTGTATATATATATGCCAAGCCTAGCAATGATTTATACTGAAACTTGCTTGGTGGATTTCTAGTTAGTTTAAGCGTGTGACAGATCTATATGGCATCCGAGTATAGAAAAATTAAAAAAAAATATTATAACTGGTTTCATTTATACTCAATTGTTATTTAGTTTTTAACTAAATTGAATTTAAAAATATATATCATTAATAAATAAAAACTACCGCATCAATGGTTTTTAAATGTTAAGGGTATATTTATTAGGGTGGATAAAAAAACGAATATTTTTTTCGTTCGTTAATATATTTGAAAAGGTTAGGTTTCCGAAAAAAAAGTAAGAATTTCTACAAAATATATAAAACGAGATATTTTTTAGTTGGAAGCAACATTTGAATTTTTCTACCTAAAAATATGAAAAAAGTAGAAAACTGTAAGGCGGAAGGTCGTCCCGTTTCAGTCAAGAGCTTATACTTGGAGAGAGCTGTCTAAGGACCAATTTTTTAGAATACCAAAAAAAAATTTATTAGTTTTTTGACCCACCCTATTATGTATACATATTTTAAGAATACACAGTCAATTTTTTTAAGAAATAAATTAAATATTTTTTCGAGTTACACGTGATCTCCGACGGCGGTAAACAAAGAAGGATCCTCCACTGCTGCCGTGATTCCGACCTTCTGCGAGGATGAAACATAAAAAAACATACTTGACTAGAAGATATTGATTGTACAGAGACTTACGTTACAAAAAAAAAAAGAAGTAAAAAATTTTTGTCCGCGTTTAAAGATAAACTGGTGAAAATGTTTAAATTGAGCGACTACAGTTTAGTTGTCAAAAACTATTTCAGATATCGATTTAATATTTTAGTGTAAAATTTTTATGTTTACGTAATATTTATTTTAAATGACTTCGGGTATTTACATTTTTTTTAACATATATTATTTTTCGATTTTTTTTAATAATTTACTAGTTAGATGACCCAGTAGCACAATGGGCCTCCTAAAGGCCTAGGTGTGTCGAAAGACAGCAACTCTAACTACCTACCTAGATGACCCAAAGTAATCACTTTCCGGCCACTCCAAGATCCACTCACATAATTCACTATAAGTACACTTTTACACAGCAATATTTTCATATAGCCGTTTAAGTGAGCAAAAACACAGATCTACATGTTATAATGCCCACACAAACACAGACACACACACACCTATAAATATACTTAAGTGATTACTGAATATATTATTAATTAAAGTGAAATAATAGATTTTGCTTATTAAGCCGCTCTTTCCGGGATCGCTCTTGAAATATTGCGCTCTTAATTTCTCTCTTCGCTTTTGCACGCTCATCTAATGTGTTTTATGCCGTTTGGTTGATTTTGTTTGTTGTGTGTCTGCTTTTAGCTATTTAATATCGACTTGGTTTGACTTTTTGCGTCTCACAATGTGACTTCGAGAACAAGTTAAGCAGAGAAATAAATTTTTGCATTATGATTAGTATGCTCGATCGTGCACAACATACACACACATGCGCACATGCATACATTTTCTATTATTATTAATTGTTGTTCGTGGAGAAATCAGGTTTTCAATACACATTTATTGGTATTTGTGGATATCATACTGTGGAGAATAGTAAAAGAGATTTTATGAATTATTTTTTGTTTTAGAAAAAAAAATTTGATTGTAAAAAAAATTCCACTACGATTGAAATTTATAAGCTGGCGAATTTAAGTGCTGAATAAACAAAATTTATGAATAAAAATTTATTTTAATTATGTAGAGTACGCTAAACTTATTATGGTTTACTGACATTAGGGTGGTATAACCGCAGTATAAAAATGAATATTCGTGGGTGCTTAAATTAAAAACTGTAATAAAACAAACTTTAAAATTTATTTTTTCGGAAGGAAAAATCACAAACATCAGAAGAACCATGATTGTTTTCGGTTCGGCTCTTTTCTTAATTTTGATCAGAGATTTTTACGTTTAATGTGTTTTCTTTACTAGTAGGAAACAAAAATCTTCTTATAATTATTTTTAAACGGAGTTCTGGAGTTTTCAGCACAAAAATGTGTCTACAAAAATTTCTGCATCGTATTCTCACTCCATAAAGAGTTATAATATTTATTAATAATTTCTCAGTGCTAAACCAAACAACACTGTTGGTCTGTTGATGGCAACTTGCAGCTCAGTGGTGTATGGAAAATAAAACCTTTCTGAATATTTTTTTATATTTTAATACAAACAAAATTTATAAAATTTAAAAAACGAATACAAAATTTAAAAATATTTTTACACGAAAAAATGGCATTTTATTGCTACTTATTCATAATCATTAAAAACTTTCGAAATGAAGATACTCGTATATTCATTCCAATTGCACAATGACCCTTCAGCCGTGTCACACTCATTCCCTTCTTTCATTTGCAGCCGATCTTTTGATAAATATATCTTGGACTTGTAGTTGGCCCAGTTGTTCTAGTTTAATTTCAGCGGTGCAAAAGAGCTGCAATGCTTTTTGCATAACGAAAACAAATCCCACAAATAAGACGTTGCAGGCGATTGGATGATTTTGCAATACTTTTAACATTTTGCTTTTAAATGTTTTCTTTTAAATAAATCGAGTTTAAGCGACGCGAACGCAAATGCACTTCTTTTATGCGTAGGCGAAGAGTGACTGATATTTGGAAGTGAAGTGTTGAGGGATTATAAGCTGAAACAAGCAGGTACTTTATTTAGGTTAGAGTGCATTAGTTGCTCAGTGAATAAAATAGATAAAAATGGGACGGCTTATTTTTAGCACCAAGTAGGTAAACATCTTCATTATGGTGACAATATTATTTTTGTTTGCGTCGCGTGGTGAGGTTCTTAAGTATTATTTAAGCGATAATCACTTTACATGTGTTCTTTTGTGCGTTCGTTTACAAATAAATTTTTAGATAAAGCATGTTTTTAATATATTTGCAATTCTTTTTAAAAACACATGGATTCATGGAAGTCTATTTAAAGTTTGGAGATTCTATTTAAAGTTCTTTGTAAATATATAGTACATTATTTTAAAAAGTACTCAATTCTCTGCCTGTTGTACACATATTTATTTTGGAATGGTTACGTAGAAAAATTTCATAAAAAACTCCGTGTTAATATTATATTTACAATACTCACTCATTTAAATAATGATATAAAAAAATTGTTTAAAAGATTTCAAAGTAAAAAATTATTTTTAATTTTTGTTTATAAGTCTCTCTAATATGCTGGTTGAAGTCCGACGATTGATTAGCTCGTTCTATACGTCACAACTTTAGAGACATGCTTTGTTTCTGCATCCATCTTAAACGTAAAAAACTCCAATAAAGCATGCTCTTGAGATTCAAGTCGAGAGTTTTTAATATATTTTTTTTTTTTTTTATATTTCTTGTACTATTAATTTAAAAAAGAAATACAGTTGTCACTAGGCTATACCAAAATTTGCATTATGCATAGCAACTGACTACTACTGATAGCAACTGATTAGTTGTTGTGGGATAGATAGAAGTTTAACTTGCTATCATTTCCAAAACGAAATTGTGAAAGGATCACTCTAGATTCACAGGGAAACTCGAGCTCTTCGTTTGCAATGGGCTGTGCTTTGACTCTAATCGCCATTCACTGGGACTCTGAATGACCTTCAGTGCATGTCTGAAGTTAGTTGCGACCGTGGTCTGGTGAGCGGATTGTTATATGTCGTCGACGCAATCAAGGAATAACCTCTTGATGCACACAGGAGGCGGCTCCGCTTCAGGCAAATGACTGAAGGGATGAATTTTGCGAAATTCTCAGTAGAAACTGCTTCGAGAAGAGTGCATGTTGTTCTTTAGCCGGAAGCATGCAGGCCACACCATGTCAGGAGGAGTCTTTTTATCGTACGGAGTGCAGTGTTCTGACACGTCTGAAGCATCTTCGTTTGCATTTCAAGGCGATCATATCGATGCTGTGTAGGTTATGACCATAATACATGAATATATCTAACTAATTTTTAGTCCTAAAACCGTACGAGTGTTAATGTGTTAATTCTATTGAATATGTATCTTATCAGTAGTACAAGTTTTATATATTTATAATGCAGTGGACAATTGCTGAACACTTTACAAAAAATATAGTAGTTGAAAGAATACTAAAATGAGACTTTTTAGACACGAAGTTAGTTATAAAGTATTCAAAATGAAAATGAGTGTTGTATCCACAAATACTTTTATTTGATTTATCCTTTCAAGTTATAAAGTTCTAAGTAGCCTAGCTTAGTAAGAAGGAAGTAAGAGTTATTGTCTTCAAAGAAAAATATTCTTTAAGCTTTGTTTGAAGGAACGAAGGAAGGAAGGCTTGGTATTTTCATCGACATCATCCAACGGCAGGTTCAGGAAATGAGATCTTTCATAGAGGCAAGAGTGTTAATTGTGCTGGTTGGAGTGGGCGAGCAAAGAGGTATTTATTATCATACAAGGCCGCCTGGCATGCAAAACATGCCATATGTTTGGTTTGTTTTTGGTCAATTTTGGGTTTATAAAAGTTTAATCTGACACTATGTTCAGGTCGAAATTGATAGATTCAATGTCTATTTCGGGAATCCTAACCATTTTCGGCGATTAAGCCTTAATCTAAGCGATCTTTAGTCAACGTCTATAAAATGATCTTTGAAGGCATTAGGTAAAATTTAGTACCAGATTTGAAAATTACAACCAATCACATGTAGCGTCGGTTTTAAGTCACTAAAAGTAGTTTAAATTTCGCCGTCAGATGACACTTATAATTTTTTATCATTTAAATAATAAATACAAAATAAATTTAATTTTTTTTAATATTTAACATATAGTATATTTTATTTCGTTATTATAATTTATTTATTGTGCGACACAGACCATTTATATTAATAAATATTTAGTTAACATACAAATTAAACAGATAACGTAATATTTACAAGGCAACTTAAACCTAAGATGGGTAAACATATTTCTTAATTTAAAACTAAGCAAAAAATTTACAAAATCTACAATTTTATTACTAGATGCACTAATTATATTCGTATATTCATTTTAACAGTATATGTATAGGATTATAAGAGTGGTTTTAATATATTGTATATATATAAAATAACATACAACGACGTTTCGTTATACATAAATGTGTAAGCTATATGTTAAGGTTGAGTTTCGTATGCAATTATTTTCAAAAATCAAACGTTGGACTGCACTTTTAGATAAATACTTCATTACTACTACTTGTTCAAATGCAAGTATTAAATCTTTAGTATATATACATATATGAAAATACTAAATAGCTGCTCTCTTAAAACATTTTTCGCTAATACTCAGTACGAAGCTCAAGTTAGAATGTACTTACGTCCACTCATTTCATTTGTCAAACACTCCATAGTATTCTACACAGAAATTATAGCAAAGTCTGCCCCAACAGACAAGCCTTTACTGTAGTACGAAAATAAAAATAATGAAAGAGCTCCATTCGCCCCAAATTACTACTTTAAATGCTCAACATGAACTTAGCACTTAATTTATGTAATATTTATTAAAAATAACCACAACGACGTGCTGACTCTGCGGTTCCGCATGCTGTTCATCGCACCGATATGCCGTTTATGGTGATGACATTTCCGGCTGTCGGTTCAGGTTCGTAGACCTCATCGTTGTTGCGCATCTCATATGGCGCATCGTAAAATTGTTCGCTGGGTATTTGATCGTAGATGTTCTCTGTGTCAGAAAAGTTTGGAGGAAAAAATTAATTAATTAATTAATTTGTCGTTTTAATAACACATTTCACACACCTGGCTTACGGCCAATGGTCCCATTACCATTACGTCCATTCACTTGGAATGTATTGAATGTCGCCGGCGGTCCATTGTCCAAATGTAGGCGATTATTGGCTTCGAGTGTCGAGTAAGACATCACCGCCGCATTGCGTTCATCTTTGGTCTCAGCCGCTTGCACATTCTCGGTGTTCTTTACTGGTCGCGCTTTGTTGCGATGCAGAAATATGAGACCGATAATGAAAAGTAGCAAAATGATGACTGTGGCACCGATCGTAATGCCGGTACCTAAGCTAGAGCTCTCTTGTGCTTCTGTGGCAGCGACTTCACAACGCGGCTCATCGCCACTCCAGGTGCCATCCTCGGTGCATTTGCGTAGATACTGTCCGATGCGGTTGTAGCTTGGTATGCAATGATACTCCGCAGAGCCGCCATATAAGGTGGACTCATTCACCACTATCACGCGTCCATTCTCAATCATCGGCGGTCGGCCGCAGTCAACAGCTATAAGACAGATAAATTGATTACTTTCCAAGAATTTTAGAACAACAATTATTATTTTAATAATACTTACGCTTACAACTTGGACTTTTCCCCGCCCATTTGCCGTTCTTTAGGCAGACTCTTGTATTATTGCCGATCAGCGTACGTCCTTTGGCACATTTAAATTTCGCCTGTGAGCCCACTGAGTGATCGATAATGTCGACAATTAGATTTTCACTGATGTCCGGTTCATCACAAGTGATCTCAATGCATGCAGGTTTTTCGTGACTCCAAGTGCCGTCTTCTGTACACAGGCGACGTGATACTCCATCGAGTTTAAAGTTAGCGTTGCACTCATATAATACGGCTGCGCCATAATATGTCACATTCGTAGCTAGGGTCACCTTGCCATTCGTAATATTGGCTGGAATACCGCACTCAACGTCTAGAAGTGAGATTAAGTATTTCGGTGGATTAGTTGAGACTTGATACAATACAATAGAGGTAAGAATCATATAGGGAAAACTATTTGAAAAAAAATATATATATCGACGATTTTCTATTAAACACGGAGTTCAAAACATAACATGACAAGAGCCGCTCTCTTTCTCCCAACATTTTCTGATTGAAAGGTATATTTTTTCAATTTATAGTAGGACCCAAACAAAAATATTCAAGAAGTGGACGAAAAAAGGCGAAGCAGCGTCGATATCATGCAAAATTCATTCGATGAATCGAACCTTTTGTCATTTTAAGGTTATGCGAAAATAATATCTTTATAAATCTTGTGTTTGTTGTTGAATAGAATTCTAGAAGTTCTTTGTGACGGTTTTGTAATATAAAAGAGAAAACTGGACAGTACTTAGACACCGAATAAAAGGTTGCTGAAGAGTCCGGAGGTAAGTGGGCTGAGCACGTATACTGCGCTAAACCATAGCGAGTCTAATACACTTAGTTCTGGGTTTATCTTGAGAAGCTGTATGAATGATGTTAAGAGACGTTTTCTGAGCCTAATATATATTTGGTAAAGTACCAATCTTCCGGTCGTGGTATTTGTCGATATCTGCATTTTGATTTCTAAATAATACTTACACACACATTCCGGTACCGCGCCACTCCATTGGCCATTATCTTCACATGTAACAAGAGCTTCTCCCACCATCTTATAGCCGCGTTCACAACGATATTTGGCTAAAGCGCCAATCCTAAGTAAAAAGTAAAAAATATCAAAAGATGAATGAAAGAAATGAGGCCTTAGTAACTCACTTATAGGTTTGTGCGCTGTTCTGTGTGGAGTCAGCAGTACGAATAAGAGTACGACCGTACATGCGATCATTGCCAGTCACTGAGAGTAAACTGTGAGCGGCCAGTACAGGCTCGGAGCAACGGATTTCTGCAAGTCGAGAGATTGGTTAGAAATCATGAATTAAGATGAAAAATTCAAAGAGAATGGTCTTACCTTCACATTTCGGTGAGGCATCACTCCAAACACCGGACTCTAGACAAACGCGCCTTGGCACACCACTCAGTTTATGGGATTGTGTACAGCTAAAGGTGACTTCCGAGCCCACATATGTAGTATTTTGTGTATACTTTATGGAGCCATATGGTATGGGCGTTATAATGCCGCAGTCAATGTCTGAAAAAGTTTTGCATAATAAAAGAATATTCATAAAAATATTTGGAATTTAATAGAAGAGAGTTGCTTGAAATTTAAGGATACAGATCCATCAGTAAAATGGCTAAGGTTCTTCTTAGAATATTGTTCAAGTTTTCCTTGTTAACTGCATACTTACATTCACAGAATGGTGCATCCGTATTCCACTCTCCGGTTTCCAAACACTCCAATGTCGGACTGCCGCGCAGCACATACCCCGGATCGCAGTTGTATTGAATTTTCGAGTGCACATTATAGTCATAACCCACCACAAAGGAACCGGCTGGTACATGTGGTGTATCACAAGCGACCAATTCGCACAACGGCGCATCACCCGACCATTTACCCTCTTTGGTGCAGTACAACTCCGATGGACCGTCCAACCAGTAGTCTTCTTCACATTCATATTTCACCATCGAACCAACTGTGGTTGACGCGTTCACCAAGACTGCATGACCTCGATCGGGACGCGCCGGCGCGCCGCAATCGACGAAACGGCATGATGGCGGCTTGCTGGACCACTCACCACCGAGGCCACAGGAAATTATCTATTATTTGTGTATACAAATAAAAATGCATAAAATATTAGTAAATAAATTTACATTACAGAATCACCAACTAGCGTATAAATCATATAACACTGGCTGGGTGTGTTATTGAAAACAAAAGTCAACTCACCGGTTCGCCCACCAGCACATAACCGGCCTCGCATTCATAGGTGGCCGTCGAGCCGGCGCGCCTGTCTGTCACACTAACGCTGCCGCCAGCGATGCGTGGCGGCTCAGGACACCAATCAACCAAACATTCCGGCTGTTTGCCCGTCCAACCAGTCAGCTCGCAAGTGCGATTCTCATTGCCAATGAGCGTGTAATTCTCGTGACAAGTGTAGGTCGCTTGCACGCCATAGCTGGTGCGTTGCTCCGACATTAGAATGGCGCCATGCTCTAGTTCCGGCAGCGGACCGCAATCGACATCTGTGGTCAGTGAGGGTATAGTTATATAAGCATTGTGTTTGGTATTCAAATATGGATATGTAAAAATTTTTGAGTCTACTTACATTTGCAGGTGGGCGCGCGTCCGCCCCAAGTACCGTCCGCGTGGCAAGTGCGCTCTGCATCGCCGAGCAGCGAATGACCCTTCGGACATTCGTATATGATTGTGTTGCCCAAGGTATAGTTGCGCCCGATAACTGTAGTATTCTGCTGTGAGTCCGGAGAGCCGCAAGAGAGAGGTGCTGATTAAATATAGTAGAGAGAAAGAGAGAGAGTGAGAAAGAGTTAGACTTTGAGTAAGCAATTATACGTAAAAAGGCATGCAATTAAATGCCAATTAAGCACTACTGTATTACAACAATAATTAGTTTTTGCAACAAACACTCACAATGCTGACATATAAAGTGCAGGTAGTCCAAATTGCAGCCCACATCATTCCACAACCAGTTGCGTCCGCCATCCAACACCACACAATTCTGCTCGCCATTGTAGTTGTTGGGCTGATCTTTGCCCCAGGCCGGTTTCTGCACCACTTCACCTATAAATTTTGTTTTTATTAAAAACAGTTACACTATAACAGTTATGATTTTGTTGAAAATTTGCAATGCTGCAAGGTCATTAAAGCATACACATGTAAGCCCGCCTTAAGACCTGTTACTACACCAACACTGCCTAAGCTTATATAATTAATTGACTATAATCTCACTTTTTACACCAACAATGCATAGAAAATGCATAATTAAAATGCGCTGTGGCATGCAAAAGACTTTCGTTTTTCAAAGAACATTTTACCGTTGACCAAATATGAACGCCTTGGCCAACGGCTTTTACATACAACAATTAGTAAACACACATAACCTACATATTTGTCTATGTGGCATTAATCACGCCCATTATAGTTAATATGGCATTCAATAAATGGTGGCCTTTTCCTTTTAGCGCACACTGTTTGTATTGTGTTGTTGCTTTAACTGGATTTTCTATGAGCTCAAGCAAATATTTTTACATGTCATTATTATATTGGTTTTCGCTTTTTATTGTTTGAGGGCGCTTTTGTTATTACTTTGCCTTTGTTTGGCGCAGCCGGTTGGTGTGTCGAATTTATATGAAATCATTATGGTCATCAACATTGGTTTTCAATGCCACTTTCTTAAAGACTTGCGCTAAGTAAAACATGGTCATTGTATTTTCGCCGGCGCTGTAGGTATACAAATATTTTATAAGCACAGGGAAGATATTAAAAAACAAATATATACTATACATAGTAGTGAAAAGAGTGTATGAAAAAGAAAATATTTTCTAAATGCAAAATGTTGAAATATTCACAATATATTTTATATCTTTATTCGTGTTTTAGTTCAAAAGTTTCTATAAATAGAGGATAAGCTGAGCAAATGTTCCAACTTTGCTTTATTTCTTCGCAGTTAATGATAAGCAATTACTGCTGTCTATGAAGAACTATAACATAGTATCAATAAACTCGAGTTTGAGGTATAGTGTTTATAAGTTACAAAGAAGTCAATGTGATGTTTCAGACGCGCTTAGTTGAATTTAGTATTTTTTGTATACGATCTGCTTAGTGTTGGTATAAAAAAATATATACATAAATTCAATAGTAAATTTTCGCAAAAAATGCAAAAGTAGTTGCAACATTTTGACGTCAAATCTTTTTATTGAAAGTTTGAATTTTCTCGAGTTTAAGTTGAAATTAGGTATCCTTCTTAATATATTAAATAAAATAATACTGTGTGTTTAGGACATAATATGAGAGGTTTATAACAAATTTCTTGAAAGAAATTTTATTTGAACAATATAAAATTAAGAAATTCAATAACTTAGATATTTGAATTTTTAACGTATATTTTGAGATTGTGTTACAAAGCTGCAAATACAAAAGTTGTAAATCTTTTTATTACCTATAGTTTTGCCATATAAATTTTTTCTATGGAACTCGTACTTTACCGGCAAGCAAGCCAAACCTCTTTTAACCCTTTAAAATTCAAATTGACCGACTTCAGATTACTCGAAAATTGTTTTTCCTTTCATTTTTGTTATTTTATGTTGCATTTCCAATGGGTATCAACCTACAATAAATTTATTTCTCTTTTTACTATTTTTAAAGGCTTCTGCATTGGTCTAAAACGTCTGTATACTACATATTTTTGATGACAAAATAGTTTTAAATAAAATAATAGAAACTAGTTGTGAAGAAAATTTCTAAAAATTTTAAAGAACTTCGAATATTAAAAAAATGATTTAAGAACTTCTTTTCTTGTATTGCACACAAAGTCTCTTAACTATGATCTAAAAGCAACAATTTCTGAAGCGACTTTCAACATTGCTAGATAAATTAATTTTTTTTTGAATGATCTTTCAGCATTGAAAGGACCTTCTTACTCATTTTAGAGCTGCTAACATTGTTGTTATCAAGAGTCAATTGACTCGCCTTTTGAAGTTTCAAGTGGATATTTCGGAGTTGTCTCAATTCTCGGAACAAGTCTTACATCCGATGTTTTTCGAAGGATATTCCTTCCAATTTTTTTATTCAGTTATATACATACATATTTCTATAGATTTTAGTGCTTTCTTACCTAAAACTACATACTTCTAGTTCGTCTACAAATTTTAGGCTATTTCAAGACTTTATTATATCAAATTAGAGTAAGATGAATCAACAATTTTTAAAAATACAAGAAAGTTTTTTTAATCGAATCTATAACTAATAAAACGAAAAAGAAAGAATTTGTCAACGGTTAACAATAAGTTCTGTAACTAATTAATACCAGCAGCCATGACGTATACCAAAAAATAACATTGAACTTCAATGTCTGTTTATTATGTAGCTAAGGCTTGGAACACACACATCATATATAAAATCTCTTCATAATTTTCCGCCTGCCATTCCCCGTGTATAATTGCTCGCCTAGTGTCTTTGCAGCCCATTGACCAACAACGGCACCGGACTGTTGACTTTCGTAAGGTGTACAAGGTTTTTCGCCATAAAGTTGAACTTATTTAATTAAACTGGTCTAATGGCGCTACTAACTATCGAAACAAAACTGCAAGCCGTGTTCTCTTTTGAGGTGCGAGTCTGCATGCAGATCGCAATAAAATCGAACCGGTTTTTTGTGACACGAAAGTTTAAACAAATGAAATATTCATTACTCCAATAAAAGAAGAAAAAAACACGATGAAATGAAAAACGACTAATGAAACCAGAGAACGCGAAGAGACATAACAACACAACAAGAGTAATAAATTTTCATTTCGGTGAATTTACACAATTCGTGACAGATAAATATGTAAAAGTGTATTTTTAACTGGTTGGGCATAAAATATTATATTTTTCTGATTTTTTTTTAACGTTTCTGTTTCACCGTCACGCCGGCCGAAATGCTTCCATGTTTCCGTCAGTGAAATTCGCAATTTAATAAATTAAAATTTAATCAACACCTATGCCTTACCGTTAACCCATTTCCAGGTGCGCGAAGTAATGCCGGGTTCTTTTTGTGCACCGATCCACACCAGCTGTGTCTTCAGTTCGGTTTTGCGTCGTTCCAATTCGGCGAGTATATAATCGTTGGCGGCACCACGAAAATCGTGCACCAAATTGCCACCTAAAAGCAGCAAAAAAGCAAAAAAAAAAGAATAAATAAAAGATAAGTTAGAATAAGCAAAGGAAAATAATAAAAATCTCAACAAATTCTTGTAAATTAATAAAGTGCCACTTACGTGACTCCTCATCTACCGTACTCACCAGTTGCTTCACACATCTGTTGCGCCTTCTCGAAATTCTCACCCTTGGTAACATGGAATTCATAGCATGTCTTCGAGAATGTCGTCAACACTGTGTCCACACTCAGATTGGGGCTGAGACAGCGATCGACGGAGAATTCATCGTTAGTGAAAACTTCCACTTCGCACAAGCTCAAACTGCCCTCCACACCCACCAATTGTATGGCCACATATTGCCCAATGAGTGGACGCGCACAGGAGAATGTTTTCGTAATACCCTCTTCCACAGTGCCTGGATACCAGGCACAGAGTGGATTACGTTGTAGATCAGCGCTGCTGTTGCCAACACGTATCTCGAGGTCCTGCAAGGGCTGATGGCCGCAGCAGCCACGTGTGGTAATGCGCACTACGCGCACAGCTTGTGGTGCTAGCAAGTCAACGCGCCACCAGGGTGATGGTTCTTTCTGCGTTTCGGAACACTGTTGACCATCCGGATTCTGAATGATAGAATAATTGAGGTTATATATGGTAGAGTTTTGTAAGACTAGGTTTTACGTAGTATGCTACAATAATAAATGCGTATACAGGTAATGTTTTCAAATAATTTGTGGAAGCCAAATTACAACCCTTGAAACAATATGTTTCTAAAGGCTCTTTAATTTCAGAAGCTCCGAAAGCGTAAACTTTAGGTTCAGGATAAGTATATTCTTTTACGAATTATCGGTCATAGAGGCTCAATTATTATTAAAATCATCTATAGATACCAGCATGTTCTTCTATGCTATCTAATATTTTAACATAGCATCACATAGTTTTGCAGCATAAAATGTCTAACAAACTATTTAGCTTCTGATAGAAATGTAAACAAACTTTTTAGAACTATTTTTAAAATCCTTTAGCAAGGAAGGCGTTTTCTTCATATTAGATACCCTGAATAGGGTATATTATATTTGACACGATATTTGTAACACCGAAAAGTCAGAGACCTTATAAAGTATATGTTACATAAATGATTAGTGTTATGAGCTAAGTCGATTTAGTCATGTCCTTCTGTCCGTCTGTATATATACAAAATATTTCCTCAGGTTTTGAGATATCGAACTTAGTGCTTGTATGGAAAACTTTTTTATTTGACAAGATATTTTCACGAAATTTTGCATGGATTATTGCTCAAGGCAACAGTGCGATCTTCAAAGAAATTGTTCAGATGGAGCCACTATAGCTGCTATACAAACTGGCCAATTTAAGCTCTTCTAAGGAGTCTTTTGTATTTGTTACTCTTCACATTATACTCGTAGCTTCGGCGCAACATTTTTTTTGTTTTGTTGTAATTTTTCTTTCATTTATTGGTGATGTGATTTCATTTGATAATCTGACATTAAGATTTGAATGGGTTCTATAATTTCGTCAAAATCAGATTTTATTTACTATTTCTATAAAAAATCAATCACGAAGAGTTTTTTCATTGGGTTGAAGACATTATATATCTAAAAAAGTGTTAGTAGAAACATTGAGGTTATGGCACACTTCAAACACAATAATTTTTCAAGTGACAAAAGGATTTCTGAGGCTGGTAGCTAAAACCGCTGGACTATTTAGTGGCTCTCAACAAAATTATACTGGGGAACAGTACCGAGAGTCGCTTATCATGCTTCTTTCAGTAATAAATCCATAAGACTTGTTTCGGATTGTTTGTCAAAGCGAAGCTATCATTTTTTTTTATTTTTTGGTTCAAAACTTTTTTAAGGATTGATTTCATAAATAAACTAATAACAGCATTTTATATTTATTTAACTTTTACCTTATTCCCCGGTTTGCCATCGTTGGCGTAATTCGCCGGTCCTGCACGTGTGTACGAACTCTGATTGACCGGCTTGCGATAAGCTACATTCGTGCCACAAAATGGCAACTCACGCTCCCAACCAGTCCTCTGATCGCATTTGATGGATTTCGGACCGAAGAGCTCATAACCTGAATCGCAATCGTATTTAGCTTCTATGATACCCGCAACGCCGGAGATGGTCTGTACTTTGGCATTAAGCGGCACAGCAGGTTGGCCGCAAACTGAAATTACACAAATAACAAAACAAAAAAAATTAATAAATGCGATTAAGTTAGCAGTAAATTGCTTGAAGATCAAGTAAATATATATAAATGTATTTAATAGTGCAAAACGAGTGAAAAGTAATTGAATATGAGTGTGTGTAAATAATATATATGTATATTCAATATATATTTTCATTATATGTGACTATGGCTTTGTATGCGTATGTGTGAATCCGCTAAGCGTGATTTGCTATATTAGAAAAGTGTCAACGCGCACAAAAAAACGAAAAACTAAACCAGGTTGCCGGTTCGATAACACTTCGCCGCTAAGTAGTTAGCAAACAAGTGCTATTTTTACGCTTTATCGCTTTACAAACAACAACATAATAATAGCAAAGCTCTGTACTTAATATAAGCGCGTAAAGTAACTGTCCGGCTGACAGGTAAGCTTGTGACAGGCACTGATAATTAACTATAATTACTTTACAAAATTTACACAATTCTGATATTTTCGAAAAAATTTCATATTTTTCCTTTGTAACTAACGCTTAGAGTAGAATGATCTACGTTGTTTCTTAGAAATTAAAAGAAAAATCGAAAAATATTTTTAGTGTAGTCTTGTTTCGACTTACATTTCTTCATTACCGTAATAATTCCATTAATCGTTAGTAAGTATATAATTTGTACTTACTGTAGAAACATATGGCATATACACAAACACAATAACGCATAATTTTTCTTGTGAATATCTATATATATAGACTATACAGTTTGGGTTATTGAACTGTCACGCAACATTTCTCGGTTACTTACTACTACTAGTTGTTGCTTTACAGCCTACCACGGTAAAAAAGAGCCTACAACCGTTATAGATGCCGGTTGACTTTGTCAACTAAACGCTGCATCCGTCTAAGCCACTTTGCGAGCAACGTCAAGACTCTTCATATATACATACAAACAAACACACATAAATATATATATAATATATATACGATTACTATGCTCCACATATGATATACCTATACCATACATATACGAGTTTATATATATATATATGTGCATGTTTGTATATAAGTGTGTAGGCATATCTATGCGTACCTTGTTTGCAATTTGCTCGCATTGTTAAGCCGCCATTATATTGATGGCTTCACCTCAACAGCTGTGTATGATCTGCACATGAGCGTCTTTTTAAGATCTGCACTGTGGGTGTAAATATGTATGTGTGGGTTGCAAATTTAGTGCATGCGATTGCAGGGGCGTTAGCAATATACCATATATACATACATAATTAGGCGTAAGTATGTATATAAAATTCACAAGTGTATGCGGCGTTGTTCACAGACCATTTTAGTATGACTTAATGCCGTTATTTCATAAATCAAACGCATTGTGCCGATGTTCGTAATCACGTTTGCTTATTGAATTTTGTACTTAAGAGACATTGTATTGGGGTGGTTCAAAAAATATCTTGATATAAAATCAATAAATGTTGTGCGATAAAATTGATTTGAAAGAATATTCACGTTCAAGTTTAAATTAATACAAATAAATTTGTAATGAAAGAAATATGTTTTAAAATTAGAAAGAACATTTTGGGTGTTGTAGAAGTTGGAAAAAATAATATTTTGAAATCTATATTTATATTTTGAAATTGATTAAAAATTAATAAATTATAAAATATAAAGCTAATATACAAGTTTTAGAAAACCTTTTGGGAAGTACATAAATTTGAAGTCTTCAAATAACATCAATATTGAAATGGAGTTGTCCCGGGTTGGAATAAGTAAGATTGAATTTTTAGATATTAAACTTTGAAATAGAGTTGCCATCGTTTAAGAATTGATAAGATTTTTTATTTCCAATTTTTAAGTGCTTACAAAAAACTTCCGAAAATAATTCTGGAAAACTTAAAGTAAAGCATGTTTTGAAATAAAAACTTCGTAAAAGCGCAGTATTTTAACTTAATATATGGATAAAATATAGAAAAATTGCTGGAAAGTAATCTGCAAGTATTAAATTTTTACACAGAGTTCCCATCGATCAAAAAGTAAAACTAAAATAAATTTCCTATGCTATATATTTTTTTTGTAAAAATTAATTTCTAAAAAAATTGAGGAAATCTTGAATCAAGAGATTTACAAATAGAGTTGATACCGTTAGAAAAAGTAAAAATTAAAAAATATTAATTTAATATTTAACTTAAATAAAATCTGCTGTAATGTTGTTGTTGTAATCTGGAAGTTATTAACTTCGATAAATTTTTAAATAGAGTTGCCATCGATCAAAAAGTAAGTTAAAATATATGCTATATATTCATTTGTAAAATAGACTTCCGAATAGAATTCTGGAAATTTCGAATTAAACATATTTGGAAATAGAGTTGCCGCATATCGAAAAAAGTAAAAATTACGAAATTATAAAATATGTACTTAATATATTATATTAGCTTTAGAAAAGGTTTTGAAAAAGTTTCAAAGAATTTGTATTTTGATAAAAACAGAAAAAGAGTTGCCACCAGTTGAAAAAATTTAGATTTAAATTTTTTGTCATATAAAAGTGTGAAAAATTCATTCAGTAAGAATTCTATAAATCTTGAGTTAAGACACATTTTGAGATAAAGTAGCAATATTTATCAAATATTATTATTTTTTTTAAATTTTCTACTTAAAAGCAAAGTATTTTTGTATTTTTAGACTCACCGCTTTGATTTGAGTAATATTAAGTAGCGTACGAATCTATATAGATATGCTTGTTATAAATCAACTATAGACTATACTTTACATGATTTTCGGAGCAAGACGTCATGCTTCATTTCATTCACATACAAATTTACATTAGAGTTTTATGTATTAGCTTGTATTATGTATTATTTTGTATTAATATATGTATGTATGGGTTATGTATACATATATATTATAGGTATTATACAAAATATGAATCATAATTGTAGGAAATACAGTGCAAACGAACGGAGCATAACAACTTATATATATACTTATATAATAACCTATTTACTCTATAATTTCCTCAAATTATGAAAGCTCAATTTGCTAATGGCTAAATAAAAGTTTTAATAGTTTAGCAATAAAATTAGATTAGCGAGTTAATTGAAATTTTAAATTTAATTGAATATTTCCTACTTCTGATTTTTGAGCTTACTTTTTGACAGCTTGATTGAAAATTTTTTATTAAAAGAAGTAAACTATTTAAATATTTGAAATTTCTCCTATTTCAGTTTGTTCTCTTCAACTTTTGTCTTTTAAAATGCTGCGGGAGTTCCATATATTTTTCTAAATTAAAATTGTTTATTGGAATATTTTTTTATAAAATGTCTTTTGATACTGATTTATATTTATATTTATTTATAAGACAGTGTTATATTTATTAAATTAGATGCATATATATTAACCTCACAATAACCGAAAACTGATATTCTCGTTATGTAAATTTAATGTGGATATCCCGAACATGCGATAATTGCAGTTGTCTATAGCAACAGTGAGTAGACATTAAAACGTTATTTTATTAATAGATATGCACATTGTAATAAACATTTAATTGAACTTCAGTCAGTTTGTTTTAAAATTATAATGAAAAATTGCTAAACATTATGAATAGTAATTGCTTAATTATTTCTCCCATAAATGTATTGCAGCTGTTTTCATTTAGATATTAAACAGTAATAGGTATTTAAGCACCCTATTCTATGAATAGAAGTACACATCAGAAACCAATTTTATGCACAACTAAAAACATTTAACGTGACTATCGTGAGAAAATTTGAATAGAAGTATGTGAAAATAATTATTTTTAGGTACATAAATGTAAGCGCCATTATATGCAAATATATTTGCATGCCTTAAATTAAATTACTTAAAATTATTTTTACTACGTTTGTAAGTAAAATTAATTATAAGATTTCAGTTTAAGTCTATGTTTAGCAGATTGAGAAGTGAATTATTTTCCATACGAACACAAACACAACCTTTCATGCCAGCCTTTCCTAATATTGGGTGTATTTCCAATATATTAGGATAATAAGGAAAAAAAGTGAAGTGTTTGTCAGCAATAATGTAGAAGGTAGCAATATAAAATTTAATTCTGGAGACTTCACAGAGCAATAAGTTCAATGAAAATTTTTGGTTTTCGACATGAACAAAAACGTAAAACAACGAAACTTACATTTCTACTGAGTTGTTAGGAAATTCTTATATACAAGCTCGTTTGCATGCTTACCTTAAAACGTACTCAATATTTTTCTATTTATTGTAAAATTCAGCCACCACATAAAAAGTATTTTTTTTTATTATAACTGAACGAAAGGAACAGTAAATCATTCTCTGCAATATTTTTGTGCGAGATTTGTTGATCTTATAAAAAAAATATTTGAAAAAATGTAGACAAGTTACTGCATTAAAAGTAAAGGATAGACAACAACCGAATCGACAGAAGATTCGAGTTTGTTGCTTAAGTCTTTTCAATCTTCCGCAAGTAGTTTAAATATTCATTAATATCAATAATATACTGTTTCTTATTTATTTTTGGGCAAAAAAATGTTTATTTGAAAAGGAAAAGAACTAATCTCTCATATCTGTATATACCTATATATGCATATAGCATTTTAGTAGCAATAAGATTTCCTTGAAAAAAGGACTTTTCAATTTTAAATTATTTTCGTTTTGGAAATAAATTTTCGATATACAAGTATTGTGTTGGTAACTACGTAATTGCGAATTCTTTGATTTTGAGATAATTTGTTCATGGAACTAAATAACTTTATTCTGTAATGTATTGCCCATTTTGATCAATGACGTTTTGCCATCCTTCAGGCAGCATCATTATCCCACGTTCATAAAACTTCTGATTTTTATCAGCAAAAAACTGAATCAGGTACAATTTGACATCTCATCATTATTGAAATTTTTACCGTTCAAGGAGCTGCCAACCCAATGTATATAATTTTATTTGAATAAAGGTTATTTCTGATAATTATTTTACTGTCTTTCTTTTTTTCAAGT